TCCAGTAGTACTAATATGCCAGTCTCCATTATAGCCTTTTACAACCTTATCAGCTCGATTCTCTGTTTAACGCCAAAGTTCTGATCAATATTCCCCAAAATTAATTAGGACGAGGGATCACTTCTTCTAAGAAAATTAAGTACTCGAGTTACTGAGATGTACCGTATAGGAGAGACACCGAAATACAGAAAAGTGACCGGTGCACCGGTCCCACCGGCCCACCGTACCCCGGTGCACCGTCCACCGGTCTCACCGGTCCACCGGTTCACCGTTCACCGGTCTCACCGGTCCACCGGTTCACCGTTCACCGGGTTCACCGGTCCACCGGTTCACCGTACCGACCGGTGAACCGGTGGACGGTGAATCGATCGACCGGTGAGACCGGTGAACGGTGAATCGTCACCGGTGCATCCCTAGTCAACACGCGGCTTCATGAATGGGATTTTCTTCGGTTTCATGCAAGTTAGTCAAGCCATCGGGAATTTACTTGCAGCCCTGCTATTCTATCTTGAGTTGCGTCAATGGATCATTTTCTCGACTATGACCACGATATGCGCTTGTGGAACGATAAGCCTTTGTCTATTACGACCGATGCATATGCCTGAAAAATTAGGTATGGAGTTAGCGCTCTGCGTAAAAATACATTAGAGACCGAGCAGTGTTGATCGAATGATCTACAATAATCATATATATAGAATTGAAATGATTTCAGTCCATTTTTGAGCTAATTTTTTTGCACCTCGAAGTATGAAGCATTATGAAAGGAAAGTCGACTGGCAATATTTTCATTCGAACGAAATCCTTGAGAAGCTAAAAATTACTTTGTTGCTTTTTCTAGCACGAAAACAATGTTCAACATTCACCAGTCTATCACTGTTAAAGGACGTTCGCTTTCTACTTCTTGCATTGTCGATGTGCTTTTCTGGTCTTCAACAATCATTCATCGTCGGTGGACTACCGCCGCTGATTCTTAACAATAGTCGTAAATATTTTGTCTTTGCCATTTCAAGCGCTATTAGTGCAATTGGGGCCATGTGTTTTGGAAAATTGAGCGATTACCTTAGTCGTCGTCTAGTTTTCTTTGCATGGAGTTTTCTTTTATCGGGCGTTTCCTGTGTACTTCTCCTTTATATCTGGAAGCCACCCATAGATCAAAACTCTATTCACATATTCATCGTGCTCGTCACTGGAATGAGTATGAGTGATGCCATTTTGATGACCGAATCGTATGCCATGTTGGGAATACTGTACGGACAGACACGACTTTCGGATGCTTTTGCTAATTATAAACTATTGCAAGCAGGAGCAACAGCGCTCGGTTTTATTCAAAACAACTATGTTTCATTTCGTGCACAGTTGATTACACTCATCACCGTGCTGATTCTCGCCTTTATATCACTCGTTATCTGCGATTACAGATTCGCATCACTCGACACTGGCCAAAAGCCGTCGAAGGTGACAATAAGAAAACAGATTGTTGACGAAACAGAACTTCCTCTCTGCACGGAATGAACTGCAAGTAGTACGAAAGAAATTGTTTGAACTCATACACGCTTCTAGCTCACTAATAAACACGTCATGTTTCTAGAGACGATAGCAGCGAAGCTTCTGATTGATCAAATGCTAGAATCATTTATCACAACGTCACAAGTAGTTCGATCATAGACATAAGATTAAGAGGGAAAAGCGCACTTCTGTATACTTCTTGTACTATTGTGGACTTCTGTGACCGGTTGATCGAACCAAATATTTCGGTATTTGACGCTTGTATTCTTCAGTAAGACACAAAATCTTCTTTGAGTTCGTGCTCGACAGAATAAAGTTCGTCGTCGACCATTTGACGAATGTCCTAAGCAAACAAGATGATAACATAGTGCATATTATCCCAATACCAGGCATCAATATTTTTCGAGTTGCACGCTCAATATTGAGAGGATTGGCGTTGGTGTGGCTATGAGCGTTGCTATGGTTTTTTTGTCCATATTAATCTACCTATTGAGTCAACACACATACGCACACCAGTATCAACATCTACACCAACACCCTGATGAAATGTTAGCGCCAGCAGATGTCACTCTATGGCGCTAACTTTGTTCATCATTGGTTATTGTTTATTTCTCTTCTTTGTAGTGTACCTTGCTTTGATCTTCTCCAATTGTGAGTATTTTATTCTATGTTTACTAATAATCCATCATTTCGTCATTATCATTATGATTATTATATACTTGGTTGTTGGTTATTCTTGTGTTTTATTTTATTCAAAATAAAATACTTTACATTTCATAACTTCTTAATATCATCGTGTCTTATGCCGACAAAATAAAGTAGACAGTTTATGCAAGCTCCCCAGTTCGTAAGGACAGACTAAATCATTAATTCTGCCATGATTTCTTCAAACGATAATCTCACATGCAGTTAATCATACTGAGACGGTTTTTTGTTTATGTAGAGATGCATCCTCTGACTTCAAATCCGGGTGTTCCCACTTATTTTATCTGAAATTCAGTTTGAAATGAAAAATTTTGGGGAATCCCAAATCTGATCTCAAAAATAATTAATCTAAATCTCAAATCGTCAACATCTAGTCGGCAACGGTAATGCGTGAGAAAAAGAATAGCCAAATTTTCTTATCATAAAGTAATGCTTTTCTCCTTGATTTAAAATATTTTGCGTCTGCGTCATTCACCTATCATTGCGATAGCAGTGTAAGCATAAAATACAACTGCAATTTTGAAGCGTAACGACAAGTAATGCTTACGAATATATTAAGATATATTTTACCTCATCGAAATATTTTTTTTTCTGATCTACAATTAGATAATAAATAGGCAAATATAAAAAAGTCTGATCATTAGAGAAAACGTTGTACATAAGTGAAAATGCTACCCTAACGAACAGCTATATATCCTTCATTTACAAAAGAATTTAGTAAGTGTCATCATTTTTGTGATTTTTGTTTAGATGCGAAATCCAGATAATAGAAATCAAATGCGCATTACTAATAAAACCATTCGATCATGATTATTCATTTCAATCAAAACCAGTTCTTTTATATTGCTTTTTCGACATGAAAAAAGAGATTCTTATACTTCATGAAGCGATGTGAAGTAGAGAACATCGTTTCGAAAAGATTTTTTAAATGTGACAACCAAGACACATAGATAGCTGAAGAGTAGATTTTTCCCGTGCTAGATCGATCTTCTTAACGACTGTGAAGCATTCGTAAACACATTAAAAAAACTATGTTTTCGCTGAATTATTACCAAACTTTAAGACATTTGTAATATTTCTCATGTTTCGATCCACCCATTTTTCTGAAAAAGCATAAAGCACGCACATCAGTCGCTGCAGAATTTTGTGCTCTATATCTTGAAAAAAATGTTTATTCGTCATCTGAGAAATATTCTGCTTAGCGGTGAACGTTTTCGGAGTATCTGTTTCTGATATTTATGGGTTCTGAAGGTTCACTGCTTTTCTAGCAGAAAAACAGATTTTGATAGTGAAATCATTTTTTATTTCAGTAGAGAATTAAATTTTCTAGAAGACGAAACTCTCCACACTTCTCTATGAGACTTAAGCAAATTGGTGCACCAGAAACACTTTTAATGGATTCATCAAAGTCTTGAACCTGCCCTAAAGATAGAGGATCATTCTACCGCTTCACTGTATTGTTTTAATAAGTTCTATAATACAACTCAGAAACAAAAAGTAGAATATCGTTCACACAAGGACATCTCTCCGAACCTTTTACGTTCTTTCGTTTGAAATTGGAAGATAAAATAATTTCAATCGATAGATGGCGTCTTTTTTTTTGTATACTAAACCAAGATATGTATGGGTAATGAAGAATTGCAGAATGTTGTCTTGTAAGGAATTTAGTTTGCTACAAAAGTAACAATAATTAAAAACGTTAAACGTGTTTTTGTGAATAAAAAAAATATTATTCCAAAATCGGTAACTTGTTGCTAGAAATTCTGAAAAGTACTTTCTCAAACAGGATAGTTTTTGCATAAAAACTAGATGATTTTGATCAACTTTTAAAATTGTACGTTTTACACTGAGCCGATTTGATACGGGTTGAATTATTCGTTTTATGGAACTTACATATGTTTTCAAAGAAAATAGTCAGTAAAAATTTAAGATCGCAATTTTACAGCTCACCCATCCTCTTCATCACAGAAATTACCAACCAAGAAAACAGAATTTAAAAAAGAAATAATTTAGCTTTCACTCTTTTACAGAATGCTAGAATAATTCAAATCTTCCACGAAAGTTCAATTGTTGGAATTCGTTCTTGAATATTTTAAATAATACTCGTTTTACTTGTTGCAAAAAATGAAAATTTAAATCCAGTATCTCAAGAATGATCAGTAGGAGTGAATTGATTAATAGTATTAAAGGTAGCAACTCTGATCCCCTTGAGGGTGTGGGGGTGCGGGTGTGGTGTGGATGTGGGTGTCGGGTGTGGGTGGGTGTGCGGGTGGGGGTGGGTGGGGGTGGGTGTAGGAGTAGGTGTTGGTGTTGGTATGGGTGGGGTGTGGGTGTGCGTGTGTGGGTGTGGAGGGTGGCGGTGTGGGTCTGGGTGTCATCATAGGTCGTCCCTTCGTCTACATCCATATTCATCCGCACCCAACTAGCGTTCATTACATCTGCAGGACATGAGATCATCAGAGAAATAAAACTATGTGCTCGAACTTCGAATCGTTTGACATACGTTCAAGTTTTTCACCATGGAGTTAAAAGAAAACTCTCCTAAATCGATGATCATCAAAGTTAATACTACTTTTCGATATCAAAATCGACTCTTACATTCCATCAGTAATTTGAATCTTTATCACGACGAATTGACTCTGTCTAATCAGTTCTTATCTTGGGTGTTAGTATGAGTGTAGATTAAGCAAACACTCACATTCACACTCACAACTCTTTTTCAGTGGCACAAGAGATTAAAAGTATAATATATTATATGTATTCATCGTAAAAATTACATAAAACAAAACTCAAAAAACACTCAGATAAATAAAATATTTGTTGCTTGCGGTATCAAAGTCAACTCTCTCAATTTTAAATCGTCCTCCAGCTAACAATAAAACTTCTTCTTCGTTTGGAAAACTTGAGAATCGAGATATATCATAACCACAGTCGAATGGATGTGGTTCTTGTTTGATATCAATAATGAATAATGTATTCGAGCCAAGCCAATTTTCACTTTTACTACGATTTCGTGATGTAGATGAAAAGCCTAGCCATTTTGCTATTTCACCTTCAGATGATTTGTATTGTTCAATCATTTCTGCTGATAATAAAGCCCCACGATAAACAGTTGTATTATAAACCATTAAGCTTGATTCGATGAGCAGTTGGTGAAGCAGATACACGTAGGGACCAAAAGTTGATAGCTTAGAAAAATCTTTCTCACGAAGAGCTTTATTCATTTCTGGATAAAGAAACGAGTTATTCGTGTATAATTTGACAACAATTTGGAAAAGATTAGTTCCTGCATTTGTTAATTCAATGGATATCGCCTTAGCTTCGTTAGAGCGACCTAGTTCATTTCCTTCAATAATAATTCCTTTACCGGCTAAGTCAGCACATCTTTTCAAACGAAGATCTTGACGTACACATTGTTTGAACTCAGAATCATTGGCTAGTATTTTTTCTTTCCAATCTATTATAAATTTCGATCCTTTTTCATGAACTTCATCAAATGATTTCGTGAATTTGGGTTCTTCGGAAAAAAAACGCTGCTGTCTTAAAGGATTATTGGTCTCCACTACTTTTGAAATACATTCACGCATAATTGGCCTAACTTTACTGGGATCATTAATTTTAATTTGTAATTTGGAGTCAATGTCGATCATATAATTTCCAATTTTTACAGTTTTCTTCTTGGATTGATAAGCATCTTCAATAGTTTGAATGTCAGCATCAGAGTATGCATTCCATCTTGCTGATTGTTTGTTTGAAAATGGATCGTCGTTAGATTGCCAGTACCATATAATCTTTTCAGAATTAGTTGCCATCTTTTTCAATCTGAAACAAATAAATATTCAAATTAGAAAGAAAATGTTATGTAAATGTATGGTATAAGAAGGCGTCTTTACATTCTACTTATATTCATTAAAAAAAAAATATTTTTTACATGTAAAATTTATGCAAATATTTTATAATACCATACAACATTTCTTCGTATTTTTTCCCACGTTAATATGAGCTGATTCATCAACCTATGTGATTTCTTGTTATTTCATTAACTGCTTATTTATTGAATAACAATGGTGTGACAGAAGAAGGAAAGAACAGGTATGATGATCATTTTGTAAAAGCATGTGAGAGAAAAAGATTTCTTAATTGTTTATTTTGCTTTAATTTGCACGTTAGTAAGTGTCACTTTTCGTAACCGAATGATCGACATTATCATTGGTATTGTCGTCCATTTCAATTTTATCGAATTTTTCGGATTGATTCTTTTACGGTACATTATAAAGCATGTTCCTTCTGATGCTCTAGCAAATAAAATTGTCTCTGAATAAAACTGACGGCATTAAATCAATATTTGCTCATAATACCGACAAATTTCAATGACTCACGTTCTTTTGTGTGCAGACCTCACACAAGAGGGGCTACCACTTCAGAGGTAAGTTTATTCGGCAGCTTAGAACATAAGCTTTAGGACTTTAAAAATTTGAAAAAAAAATTTTCACTTTCGAGATTGAATACTTATATATATCTGTGCTTTTTCTTTTATAGTTCACTCATTTTTCTGTTGAGAGAAGCCGTCTTCACAGATTTTTGTGGAGCATTGAAATTATAATTTAAAAATAAAATTTATTATAATCGAATACAAACTAAAGGAGTTAGTGCAAGCATAAAAAATGACAGAAAACGTGTTGTTGTATCTTGGGGACAGAAATATCTACTGACATCATTGAGTATGCCTCTTTGCTAAAGTCACGCAAAACATTGCTACAGCCACACTGGTGGAATGAAAAAAGCAAAAATTAAATGGATGGAAAGAAAACTTTTTTGTTCGTTCTTTCAATATAATAACAAATAAAAACATTAACAAAACAGGGTAGTGTACATAGAATACTTGCTTGATCACTTTGCTTTCTTCGTCTGCTTTTCTCTTTTCATTGTATCGTTTTTTAATTTTATTTGAAAGAAACGAGCAAAGAGAAAAATAACAAGAAGAACTCGATTTTTCTTGTTTTTTATACTTTTATATTTCAACATCAAAATATTCAGGGAATAATAGAGAAAAAGAGAAGAATAATTCATTACCTTTTTTGCACACGACTTTATACAGGATTTGTATCAAATATTCACAAAATAAAAAGCCGTCGAAATCGATCATACCAAGTATAAATTTTTTTTTGAGTAAGTTACAAACATTCTAAATTAGGAAATGTCTTTGTTTATGCTATGTTAAATACAACGTCTCTCGCGAAACTAAAACATCTCGAAAGCTTCAGATAAGTCAAAGAAAACTACAAGAAGAGGATATACTCATGTATCCATTCATTTCATTGAAGATTTTTTTTATAGTTGCCTCGTTCTGTATATGAGCCACCGGGTCTTGCTCTGGGTGAGATGCTCTCTGAAAAAAAGATGTTTTAAGGAACTACAGAAGGTTTTAGGAACGATGCTGGAATTTGTAAGGCTTCACTTTGTTATCAGTATACTATCCATACTTTTTTCCTGAACTCCTTTTACAAAGATGGCTCTAGTGCGAATCGCTTGGACTACGCTGCAATAGAAGGAGCCAAATGAATCTTCTGATGTTGCTCTGAGATTTTGCCGAACTTTACTATACCTTCAAGCTATGATACAAATGCACGAAGTTGTACTTAACGTTTCGTACTCTCATAAGTGCCGTATAAACGTCTCTTCAAATTTCACATCAGAAAGAGTTTCGTATTGAACCTCTCAAATATACCATAATCGGAAAGTTTCGCAATTACCTGCTTTCTTTCTAATTCTCCATAATAGAGACAGCTGTTCCACAATCAAAAATATAAGCAATTGAAATCCTTCTTATATTTACACATTTATCATTTCTTTTGCAACTGCGTTTGCATATTTCATGGGTGCATGTCGACTTCATCGTTTTCCATGCGGGCCCACTTGTGGTAGCAATATGAAAAGCATGCAAAATATCGCGAACAAAAATTTTCAGCTACATTGTTGAAGTCTTAGTATTTTATTGAAAGAAACAGAATTTCTGTATGTTAAATAGCTATGTATGTTCGGATTTCATGAATCATTTAAATTATGAGTTTGGTTTAGCTTTTGTGGCGTGTATTGTTTGAGCTCATTGACATAAATATTCGTTAATCCTTTTTTTCGTCTGATAGAATGCTTGTTCAACAAGCAGATTTAAACTACAGAAGTATAGTCTTTTTCGCGTCACTATCAGAAAAGATCAAACATGAAGAAATAAAGCATAGATATACGAAATTAGATATAGATTTAAATCGATACACGTAGACATAAGAGATCACAGAAACATATAAAGGTTAATACAGAAATGACAAAACTGATAAAGACAAATGGGATTAGGCCTACAAATAAGGAGTTATATATAGAATATACAGATTACATATTTGAATAAGGAGTTAAGAACAGAAATAAGGGGTGCGATTTATGACTAAGCAGTTGCAGATAGAAACAATAGATTAGATATGAAATGAATCAGCAATAATCATGATAGAACCTTGATAGATTCACATAATGGGACCCAAAGTCAGTATTCTAAAAGGTTCTGTATGAAAACTTTTTTTTACAAATAGTAGTCACATTCATACCCTCAGACACAACCACACCATATTCATACCGCAATCACCGTCGCAGCTAATTATAAGCACATACAAATTCAACCGCAATGACAGCATGACTTAATGGCGATCATAAAACGATAGTGCAAGTTTATAGCGATCACGCAGTGAATGAGAGTTAATAGTGGACTCGGATGGTTTCGCGTATAGTATTTATTATAATTTCCTCATTAGAAAGTGACGATAAGTTATTTAGTCAAAGAACTAATTTAGAATGCGGAACACTGTATATTGCACAATAGTACAACCAGTTCTCAGAAGCAATGAAGTGTTTTGGTGACTGATGCAAAACTTTCAGGGAAAAACTGAAGCGCATCGTTGTTCCTCTGATAGAATAAATATAACATTGCAATCACCTATTTATAGATGACTCATGCTGCTAGATCACGTATCATGAAAGACTTGAAGGAATTGGAAAGCGGTTCAACACTCAGCGTTGACCTTGTTCCCGGTGATGACATATATCATTATCAGGGAACAATGCTTGGTCCACTTGATTCTCCTTATGAAAATGGAATTTTGCAATTTAAACTCGAGTATCCTGAGAATTACCCATTTCAACCTCCAAAAATTCAATTCAGCACGAAAATATTTCATCCAAACATATTTCCTAATGGCTATATCTGCTTGGATATCCTGCAGAAACGATGGTCAGCAGCATGTTTTCTCTCAGCAGCTTTAATATCGATTCAAAGTTTGTTAAACGATCCAAATCCTAATGATCCAAGTAATCCAGAAGCTGCACATTATTATCGATTCGATCGTGAAAAATACAACCAAATTGCACGTGAATGGACAAACAAATATGCAAATCCACATGATATGTGTCAGAAAATAACTGCAGCTAAAGAAGCCATAAGAAAAGAATTAGATGAGATACAACGTCACAATTCATCCGGATTTGATGTTCATCCTGTTGATGTGAGGGATCCATTTTTTTGTAAGGGTACTATTGTTGGTCCACAAGATAGTCCCTATCATGGTAGAAGTTTCGTTTTCAATGTTCGATTTCCTTTAGATTATCCGGATAAACCACCTGTAATTTTTCTTCTAACATATATATTTCATGCAAATATATCTCAGTTTACTTGTTTAAATGAGACACTTGTACAAAAGACATGGACTCGAGATTCGACTCTATCAAATATATTACGAAACTTCCTCACTTTACTCTCCAATCCTTATTCCGACGATTCTTGCACTCATTATGCTGCATGTTTTTACAAACATGGTCGTGAAGAATACAACAGACTTACATTAGAATGTAAGAAACCTGAAGATGAGCAAGAATTACTATCACCAACAGTTAAAAAACTTATATCCAGAGAATTGGCGGAATTAGAAAAAGATTCTCATTTTCAAGTTGGTCTTATTACAAGCGATGATATCTTCAAATGGAAAGTAACAATGTGCGGACCTCGTGATACTCCTTATGAAGACCGCGTTTTTAATCTAAAAATTTCCTTTCGTTATAACTATCCCTCTGAGCCTCCGAACATTGATTTTACAACCAAAATATTTCATCCTAACATATCCTTTAACACTGGTGCATTGTCTGAAAATTTTATTAAGCAGCGATGGAAATCGGATTTGACTATACCGCAACTTTTATTATCAATACTAGCATTACTTTCTGATCCAGATCTTAATAACACAAACAACGATGAAGCTGCACGTCTTTACCAACAAAACCGGGAAGAGTACAATAGAATTGCACGTAATGGGTCACAATAATAGGCTAAATAAAACATTATGTGAATGTTGATCAAAATAACTATTGGAGTTTTTTCTTTTTCTTTTGTATGTCACTTACTTCTTATAATGAAATATGAATACATTCTACTTATTTGAACTCTATCTTCAGTTATTTCTACAATGTACCCTAAAAGTCGCTTGTGTAAAATAAATTCGTATAGCACCTTCACTAATAAATTTCAATCGATTTATTCTTTTGTTCATATGATACGTGTATCGTCGTCAAGTTTTAATTTATACAAGCAACGCTCACATTATTGCTCAAAGGTTGCATTTTCGATTGCAATACAAAACTTTATTTTTTTTCGAGCAGGGATTATTTTTTATAAAGGAAGTCTTGCTTATTGAATAAAGGTTATTGAGGTCATCTTTTACTTCTGACTACGACTATATGAGACTAGAACCAATGTGAAAAAGATTTGTCTTGATATATCACACTTAGCCAGCTATTACCATTTTATATGAGAAAACGAACAAGTTAAAAATCATTCGCTCGATGTTTCTTGCAATAGAAAAATCCGTACAACAATGATAACCCAATTAGAATAACACATGAACATAAGTCCTTTTGGGTGTGGATGTGACTGATGATAATACTAACAGAAACTCACACCTACATGTCATGTACAATACACGATCGAATAACAGTAAAACAATAAATATTTTGCAGTCATAACATTTAATGTCTATCCTATGTATACTATCTAAGGATTGACTAGAGAGAATGTAGAACAGGTGATCATCTAACAAGTTTCTAATACTTAGAAAACTATAATCCGAATTACAATTACTGACGAAAGTTCTACTCGATTTGCAATACTAAATTTATCTGTATTTTATTCAGTGCATAGTATCGAAATTTTAAGCAGATTCTATCGAAAACCACCAACAATATTGTATATGAAGCAGAAACTGTCGCAAGCTTCAAGCCTATTTCGGCAATGACAAGGTCATCTTTAAAAGAGTGCGACTGTCTGCTTTTCTATTTATCGAAAGAGTTTTCCATTGTTTATTCATCTATTGAAGACATGAAGTTAGTTTTATAGTTACAAGCATACTCGTAGAGAACTCTCCTCATTAAACGCTCTAACTGAAGAACAATTTTGAAATACGACTAATATAATTCTTGATGAGTGATTCTGACCTACATATTATGTTTCTCTTACAAATATGGAAGAACAAGATAGAATGAAACAGATATTGTTTCGAACGTAGACGAATGATGCATTGTGTTTCTATCTGGTGAAAAGAAAAAGAAATAAAAATAAGAAATGATTAATTGCTGAAACGCTATGACACGACTGAATTCGAACTTAACTCTTTTTGCTTACAATTATAAGCAATAAGAAAATAGACTGAATTACTTCTTTTCCTTTATCGTGCAGTACAATAAACTGACGTTAGACAATATAATATTATGTTCTTTGGAAAACTCAATATAATATCTTCTGTCAATAATGAGATATGTGACAAGTCTATATTTGTCCGGCATATCAATTTGTGATAGTATGACCGAAAGTAATAAAAGAAAAGCTTGCTTTTTGTTCTCATGACATATTAGTGAAGAGTGATATTTATTTTTATGATCAAATGTAGTACTTGGACAGTGATGAGAAGATATAGTGAGAATACGTCTAAAACCATGATAAAGATTCACTAGAAGAAGTGCTCCTGATTGTATTTTTATGCTTTTCATACCTTTAAATTCAATTATTATTTAATAGAAAGTGTTTTCCTTGTAATTCTTACACAGTAGCAATAAGTAGTGCAGCTAACATTTTTTTGCATCAGTAATATACATACGCTCTAATGCTTAGTTAATTATCACTAATAAGCGGTAAAAAACAATGGTTACTATTTTCTAAGAAATGGACAAATTGATAATTTACTAGTGATTGTTACGTAGTTAAAATATATTCAATCACACATGGATACTGCACACTAGTTAAACTGACCACTTACTAACCGTTAGCAACAAATGAGTAATAATAACTATCGTTGATTAGCAACTACCGCATGATAAAGGCTCGACGTACTAAGAACGTTACAATAATATTATTTTTCTAATTGTAACTCATTTGTTCCTGAAAAAAACAATAATAAGATGCTTTAAACGATTTTGGTCAGAGTTTTGCAAAGTAATCTGTTAAAAGGCGTTCAATGTGAACAATTCACTACTAAACATGTTTCAATGAATTTGTGGCAGTTAAATATCGGCTTAGGTAGCCACTAATTTCAATGTATCGGAAGTGCACACTTCCTTACAAACTCTCCAGGGAATCCTTGAAGATTCCTGAGGAAAGTTTTTGTTTTTATTCATACTCCCTAAAAGTCGCAGATTCTCCGTCGCATATCTTAAAAAACATATCGCTGTTGTTTTGATCTTGTGTTCACCAGTAAACATACTCAAATTCCAAATTCAATTAATTAAGCAAGATCATATATTTCATGATAAAGTTTGGCTAAAACGGTGGCGCGTAATATTAGTGAGTATGGAGTATGGATATGTATGTGGGACAGTGAAAATGCCATTCATACCCACACCCATACGTGATACGATTTCAACAAGGTCTGTTATCTTTATGTCAATAGTAGTGTCAAGCTCCATATAAAAAGAGTATGAAAAGGAGAGAATATTCGTTTGTTTGGTCGTGAGCACGATAAGAAGCGAAAAAATTTCAATGCCAGACATGACAGATGAAGCACGTGCTGTTCTTGCACTTAACGATCGTGGTGGTTATACAGTACCCACTGATGCTCTTTATCCATTTCAATGGAATTGGGATTCAGCTTTTGTTGCAATGGGATTTGCCACGTTCGACATAGATCGAGCTTATCAAGAACTTGAACGACTTGTTGAAGGACAATGGAATGATGGCATGTTACCTCACATCGTTTTTCATGTGCCAAGTGATACCTACTTTCCAGGTTCTGAAGTATGGAACACCCATCATCGTCATGATAAAAAACCAACAACATCTGGCATTACTCAGCCGCCAGTATTTGGTATGGCATTGCGATATATATATGAAAAAGCATTTACAACAGGCCGAGAAGATGTACTTGTACGAACACGTTTACTATTTGATGCCGCATTACGTTCTCATCGTTGGTGGATGAAAGCACGAGATCCTGAGAAATGCGGTCTTGTTGCCATTCTTCATCCATGGGAGAGCGGTAGCGATAATTCTCCTGCATGGGATGAAGCACTTGCTCGAGTATCTACAACAACAAAAACTGACATATGTCGTCAAGATACAAAACATGTTAACGCAGCCATGAGACCACGTCATGTTGATTACCAACGTTTTATTCATCTAGTTGAAGTATATCGTGAATGTGAATGGGATCCAATAAAACAATGGTCAGCAGCACCCTTCAAAGTTGCTGACGTACAAATGACTGCTATTCTTGCACGAGCAACTGTTGATTTGATTTGGATTGCATCACATCTTAATTTGTTTGACGAAATTAATGAGTTATCAACAATACATCATGTTCTTATTGATGGATTGACAGGCCGCTGGCGAAACAATATTCGAGGCTTTGTTTCGTTGGACCTCATCTCAGGTAAAGATATTGAAAAGCCGACACAATCTTACTTTATTCCACTCATTGCTATTGAACTCGATACTCGTCAGCGTGAATCAGTGCGAGATGAAATAGAACGTTGGTGTAACGGTATGATTGTTGGAGTGCCATCAACAGCTCCATTTTCCTCAGATTTTGAATCAAAACGATATTGGCGTGGTCCAGTCTGGGCTATCATCAATTGGTTAATAGCTGATGGTTTGCGCAAAAATCAATTGATTGAACTAGCTGCAATTATTGAAGGCCAAACTATCAATGCTATTGAGCGTGCAGGCTTCTGTGAATATTTTGATCCAATCACTGGTGAAGGACTTGGTGGAAATAAGTTTTCGTGGACAGCTGCTGCTTATCTCGTTCTAAAACATCGTTTAACTAATAATTAACAAGCACATACGTGTGAAATGCAGATATTTAATTATTTGAAGTTGATTATATGTCCATGTGAAACCGTATATTTTTAAAGATAAGAATTACATTCAAACTATGTGAACATCAATATTGAAAATGAGAGGAAGCCATTATAAGGATATGTTTTAAAATAAGATCAATTTCATCTGTTACATTGAGAATTCACCTTTGCATTCTAACGTACGATTTGTGTCTGTGTGAATGCTTGTATAAAAGCAAAGAATACTCACATCCACAGCTCCACTCATCACACCCGAATAATCATTTCATGAAAACTAATTGATCAACACCGCCTATACATCACTTTCGATCACCAAGCAGAACGAAAATCTTTTTCAAGCATCTATCAACATGTGTGTTTACTCATTAAATATCTTTCTTTTTCTTCAACACTTTCTCACAGCCATTGCATGTGTGTGTGGCAATTTTGAGAAGAGCAAGAAAGTTTTTTTTATTCTTTTCAACACTTCGAATTTGGTCGCATAAAACAACCCTACGTTGCGCACATTAAGGCGGGGATAAAAGCCAGATTGTTTGGCTCGATGCTAATGCGTACAGCGATAATAATAAAAAGATGCAAGAACAACTGGAAGCTAAGTTTTCTGACGTTTGGATATTTACCGATGCAGAAGAATGTGAAAGACATATCAAACGATCGTTGTCAAATGTTCTCGTGCTGATTGTAACTGGTTGATTGGATGCAAAGCTCGTCTCTAAAATTGATCAATGTAATCAAGTTTCCTTAATCTATGTTTATTGCAACGATGTGGTCGGACACCGAGAGTGGGCAGATAAAGTTACAAAAGTAAAGTAGACTCTATTGTCTTTCTCTATGTCGATGATAATATCTTCTGAGTAGGTCAAACTCGTCACCAATGATTTCATTACTATCATATCTAGCATCGAATCAAATAACAAAGCTTAAATAAATAGAAGTCTATCACTCGATTGCTTTGTGGAACGAAACGAAAGCATTCAAAGACTAACTTATTAGACCGATTCTGCAATGAAGACGCGGAGTGGAGTGTGTGAGATGTGAATGTGGTTGTGTGTGTGAGTGTTGATATGGATGTGGGTGAGAGTGTTGGTGGGTCTGGATGTAGTTGTGGGTATGAATTCTCTGTTAATTAAAACTCACACCCACATCCACATCTGCATGCTTTCGCACGATTTGTAACAAATTTAATTAAAACATAACATGAAGCTTTTTCAACGTATAAGAGTGCTTGATTATAATTGTATTTTGCATAATAGACTGTTTCAATGTTAATGAATGTCACAGATATTCTAATATTCATTTCATGATAAACATTGGACTCATTAGTTTTCATTTCGATTTTCAGAGCTAGATCGAAATACAAAAAAGATTCAAAATAAAAATATCTTCGACAAAAATGAATGTGAGGCTATTATATGCAGTCTGTAATTCTTCACAATGAATATTGTCGCCGTTAGAGACCTATACAGTCATTTAGTAACATTTTCGTGATAGTTTATTGCTTCAGTAATATCATTCATCTCATGATGCAGTTTTTCTAACAAATTATAGATGCCAGCTATGAAACTAAAATATGGATAAAAAGGTTTGCAGAACTTTTATAATCAATATATCTCTGCAGCTACTCAAGCAATTTCAATAGCTAAATAGTCATTTTAAAGAGTATTTGAAAGTATATTCATTGTGGAAAAATAAAGGTTTCATCTTAAAAAAGAAGAAAAATATAAATGTGAGAATATCATGAACGTTTTTCCGATACATTTTTTATCCTTTTTGAAAAAACCTTTGCACAACATGTTTTGTTCAGTTCTCAACCACATATAGTTCACTGAAGCGAATCCAATGTAGTCAGTCAGCACAAGCATTTCAACTTCTTTTAAATAATATTTTCAAATTTTTTTCTGATTTATGATTGGTTCTTAGGAACAAATCTTTGAAAGGACCAAAAAAGATGTTTGTACAAAATAGCCAAATAGAGTCAGACGTTGATGCTCTTTTCAAATGTATTTTCAGAATTTTTCTCTAACTTACGATTGATCAGTTGTGAATAAATACCTGAATAAATCAAAAAATGCTTGCCCCTACCAAAATAGACTTTTTCTTGTCATTTGAATTTCGAAATTTAAAATGTAGTAAATTTCAATTCATTATAGCAGTCTGTAATAAGAGTAACAAATTATGCATTTTATAGAGCAATTATAAGTCAGAAAAATATTTTGAGACAATATTTAGAAAGAACATGAAATACTCTTTAAAATGACTATTGATTTATTGCAATTACTTAAGCGCTGCAGAGATGATATATCAACTACGAAAGCTCTGCGACCTTTTTTTTTCATATCTCAGTATAAAGTGAATGTATTAAGATGTCAAAGTTTGAAAAAAAATCCTTTCTGTTAAATAGAGAACCGATGAACTTTAATATTGACTATGTACAACGAATTTCACCCTCTAAACCGTTATACAATGTATGGCAAACAGAAACAAAAATATTCAAAAAAAACAAAAAAAAGAAAATTCAATTATTTTCTACTTTATAACTTGTTTTTCTTTTCCATTAAGTAATGCTGTTCAGTTTGTCTAGAGAGACGAAAAAGACGATATATTTTGTTATACCACGTGTACATGCATTTATTCTCGTTCGAAAATAATTTTCTTGATCAGTATCATAGTTATTCATAATTATCGTAGATATGCAACTAAGAAAACGGCAAGAAAACAGTATGAATCAAAATTCGACTCGTAATAAAAAACAAAAATTACAAAATGAAAGTAATTTTTCATGTTTATATTTCATAAATCCAATTATCTTCTTTGTTTTTCTTTTTTCAAGTAACACCAATCGATCGAAACAAGTGAACTATTACACATATTATGTAATATTTTTCTTACTCTATTTTATTTAGATCTTGTCTTGAAGATTTAGCTAATGAAATCTTTTATGAAATATATGAATATCTTAATATGCATCATATATATAAAGGATTTTTCAATCTTAATAAACGATTTCAAAATTTAATTATTAATTCAAATTTTTTACATAAAATAAATATTTCAATCGTATCAAAAACTGATTTTGATGATTATTATAAAAATATACTTATACCATATAAACATCGAATTAATTTACTTCGTTTATCAAATCCATTTACTATTAAGATTATATTTTCACCAGTACGTAAAATTTTACAATTTATTAATCTTGAAAAATTAATTCTTAATAATATACAAATGAAATATTTGGATAAAATTTTTGATTATTTAATATATTTACCTAAATTTTATTCATTAACTATTTCAATTGGTGATTATATTCAATCATTAGATTTTCTTTTTTTTAATATATTTAATTTATTAACATTAAAATATTGTAAAATTGAATATGAAACTAAAGATTATGAACATCCATCATCTATTCATTTTACTGAAGATGATTCAAGTTCAATTCAATGTTTAATTATAAATGGTTTTTTTCCATTTAAATCATTGTATAATTTATTATGTTGTCTTCCTAAACTTCATCATTTATCGATTAATTCTCTTGTTCAATGTCGACAATATTTAGACATAGAAGAATTATCACCTATTAAATTAAAATATTTAAAATATGTTTCACTTAAATTTGATTGCATTAATTTTGATAATGTTGAAAAAATTCTTAAAGAATTTTTTTATTATATTCAAATTTTACGTCTTACAACAAAATATGATGACGATTATTTAAATGCTAAACAATGGGAAGAATTAATTTTATCTTATATGCCATACTTACGTATTTTTGATATCAATCATCAAAGTTCTATGATAAATAATAATTTAACATATCATGATTCAATAAATCAATTTAATTCATCATTTTGGATTAAAAAAAATTGGTTTTTTACACATCAACATGATTGGGCACAATGCTTAGATAGTGGAATTTTTTATTCAACAGATCCATATAGGTAAACAAAAAATAAATTAACGAGCGTAAGATACTAAATTATTGCTTTTTTATGTCGTATCTTTCAAACAATTAATAGTAGTTTTAAAATCTCGGTTTAACTTCATTTGATTCTCTACCAAAAAATGTCGACTTGGTTTTTCAAGGAAATATTCCGAATATACGTAAAGTTCAGACTTATTTAATTTTACAAATGCAATAATCAAAAAAAAACAAGAAAATAATTGAGATTTAAAATAAAAATAGATCCGCTGAAAACGTCAAATGTATTAAAAGATTCTGTATCTATTGATGTACTTCGAAAAGTTCTAGGACAAATATTTTTGATAGAAAATATGAAAACAACAGAAAAAAAAAATTCCCAAGATGAGCCTAGTTTAGAAAATCTTCATTTGTCAACAAATACATTCGAATCTTAACATGTATTTTTTTCTTCTGAATAAAAACGCAGTGAATATTGAAAAGGTCATCAAACCATTGAAACTCGACTCGATTCGATCTCTCCTTCATAACTACACGCTCATAAAAATTTATAGATATCATCAGGAAAATAGCAAATCACATATTGATAATTGAGTAAATGTTAACTCGTTGATTCTTATACCAACAAAGAATATTTCCTAGAAAAAAAAACATAGTCAATAGTTTTTGTAGATAATTCAAGTTTTGATTGAATACGACTAAAATGATATTTTAAAAACTATTGGCGAAAGATTTAAAATAAAAGGCGAACATCAATTATCATTTGTTTTCTTTTAGACGAAAAGATTATGAATTTCATTGGGAAATAGATGAACAAAATTGTTCATATAAGCAAGATGTCAATTTTAATTCAGTTCAACATCTATCTATTCATAGTAGACAAATAACAAATATTTATCTAAATTATTTTTCAAATGTAACACAATTGACTATTAAACATTATTTTAAAACATCAGATGATTCAATTATAACAACTCTTAATCGTATGATTCCTTTAGTACAATTGACGGAATTAGCTATTGAATCGTATAATTTTCCATTTGATGAAATTATTAAATTATTACGTTTTACACCGAATTTATATGTATTAAAATTGGATTTATTATCTATGAAAGAAATAAAATCAAACTTTATCGAACAAAGTGAAAATTTTCAATATGTATCAAAAATAAATAAAATAAAAAATTTAATTATTCGTGAAGGGTGTTCATTGAATCAAATTCAATTGATTGTTAATTTATTTCCACAATTAGAATATCTTAAAACTTCAATGAATAGAAAAGAAATTAATCAAATAATTAGATATTTATTATCAAAAACTAATAATAAAACACAACATTTATTCTTTTTATGTATTTCAAAAACACCGAAAATATGTTTAAAAGAATTAAATATTTTAATTAAATCAGAAAACTTACTTAATGATTACTTTATGAAATTTATTAATCGTGATTTATATGTATGGTGGTAGAAGTTTAGTTGTTTAGGACATTTTTTTAAAAATTTTTGTATATAATTAGTAATTACTTTTAAATAAACAAAAGATCTTATTATTCAATATCTATGTTTTCTTTTGTTTTTATTTTATTTTATCTTATTTAGCAAATAAGTACAACAGAATTAGCATACATGTTATAATCAAACACGTTCGGCAGTGTTTACTATTCTCAATCGAATGACCTTGATGGATTGATCTACTCTCTTAAGATATTCAGTTTTTAAGGTATCAGACAGTATTTGCAATTGACATTATACCAAAGATAACGATTGCAAAGATGAGATAGATTTGCGTTGGTTTTTTTTTGGGAACCGAACCGAACTGATTTTTTAAAAGAATGTGCGTATAAGTCTAGTTGTAAATATCTTGTTCCGTGTCCGAACTCAAACTCGTACACGTCTCCTCTTTCAACCTGTGGATAATTAAAATTTGTCATATATTTATAAATGAAACGATAGACGTGAACAGAGAAGTAGTCGCGCAATGAATTGATAATTTTTATCGGAACTCATCAAAATTCGTTTTTTGTGGATTCATTGAAGACATTTTGTAAAGTGACGGTAAGAATTGGTTAAAAATGTTTAATTTATTGCGCAAGTGTTGCTCTTTTTTCTCACTTCATTTCATTTATGAATATATGACATATACAAATTATACACTGGTCGAAAGAAAAGTGAAAATTTTCTAAGATTAATAAAACAATGGAGAAATACCAATCGACATTTAATAATCAAGCAGTTAAATTCAAGTCTGATAGATTATATTGATTTTTGTTTAGATAAGACAATTATCAGTGCTATTGAATAGATTCTTTCATTGAGTTTGTGCGAAACATTGACTAATACTAAACAAATCTGTTTTTTTTATAAATACATTTTTTAAACAGAGAAATGTTTTCTATTTACTTTTCCAATGAAACTATTCTTAAAAAGTTGAAATACAATAAATACGATGTTGAAAAGATGTGTTCAGATCAGTATGAATAGTATCTCTATGTAAATGAGTAAAATAACAATACTAAAATTTAATTTGTAGTAAGTTACAAAAAAAAACAAACGTTAAATTGTTCATGTAATACACTGATTACAATCAGTGAAATTTCTATAATAAATATTTGGTAAAACTAATGATCGTCCAATAAAAGTTTTATTTACAAAAATTTCTATCTTACAACAAAAGATTGATTATTAATTGATTAAATATGATTAACGAGGAAATTGCCGTTTTATGTAAAAATTTTGTTAACATTCATAGTTTTTTTCAAATGAATGATGAATTCTTGAAACTATTAGCAAAGAATATGCTGGAAAAAAATAATAAAAAAGAATACAATACTAGAATTTCATTTATCGATATAAACAGTATAGGGTGTGGGTGTGGGTGAGATAAGATCAGCACACGCATTCACACCCACACGCACACCAGCAATAAAGCATTCTTACCTGTTCTCTGGACAATGTATCCGAATCATCCACTGTTATTGCGTACTGAAGGAGCTCTATCAGATGAACTCAAAGACGATTTTTTTTTCTAAAGAAACTGATCGTTGGTCGATGCGGTCAAAATGTTACATTGTATGACAACAGCAACAACGCATTGATTAACTCTTTGGGGACGGGCGTGGTATATATACCACCTGGAGTATCTTTCAAAATTCGGGGATAATATAGATTTCAAATCAATCAGAAGTGAGTGGAAATAGCCTGTAGAGTAATTTTTCTGTGTTGATACAGTAAATTAGCAGTATTTCGAAAGTGTCGGAAATATCCACACAGTGTATTTAGTAGTTTATAACATTACATAATGGACTTTTCCCTTGCTTTATGATACATTCTTTATTTGGATTTTTCCTATACATCCTAATACGTCTACCTTGATATTTGTCCTATTCTCCTTGATACATATATACACAAGGGCTTCGTGTTCACCTATCCAGCGTCACTTTCATTCTTTTCTTCTTCAAATACACAAGATATTAGTGTGAAGAATGTAACATCAGGTTATGCGTAATTGATTGTTTTCAAGTTTATCATACCCTAATATACTTTTGATAATGATTTTGCATTGAATAAACATCTGTTTTCACTCTAATAAAAGGCTTAATTTTTTCAAAAAAACTCCGTCCCCAGAGGGTTAATGAAAACACGGACAAGTCTTTGGATCGAAATTATATCTATCAGGACATGTTTCAAACCAGAATTCTAATGGATATCATCCAGTGATTGGTAGTTGGGTTATTTATGGCCATTTTGCTAGTGTCGGCATTCGTGACGATCAAAAATTGATTACCGATGCTAACAGTCCAGTGACAGCTTGTTGCATCATTTGGGACGAAAATTAGTACTACGTTCCTTTTCTACACAATTTTTTCTCAATGAATGAACGATTTTTCTGAAACATGTTTGCTAAACTTTCATTATTTTGTCTCCACTAGGTATAAATTTATATATATCTAAATAAACTTCTGAAAAATTACCATGCAATAGTTCTACTTCATATGGATTCAGGTCTAAGGAATAATAGTTGAGCATCGATTAGGTCTAGAACTTATTTGCTTTAACGCAAAGATTTGCACAGGCGCTCTCATCTTCTTGTACGACCGCTCAAAAATCAGAACATGCTTGTATTTTGAAGAAAAAAACTTGTTTTCTTTCACATAGCAGAATAGCAGAGATGAATAAGCATAGCTCTGGTTGGACAATGAACAAATAATGATGATGGACGAAAAGAAAATTCAAGTACGTTCACAGCACAAAGAGAAACTCGTTTTTTATTGCCCTAAGTTTACTTTCTTTCACACACAATTCATCGTATGTATTGAGCTGTTCTATCTTGAGAATAGTTGTGGGTATGGTTGAGGGTCAGGGTGGATAGGTCAGCGAGTGAAGAAGAGTGAGGATAATAATCTCTTTTTCACCCTCACCCACTCTATCTGAGACCTGGCGAAATGAATAAAAAAACGCCTATCTGAATATGATATTGATCTTGTTAGAATCACTTGCCTCATGTCTAATACGTGCGCAAAATGGAATTGTTTTCTCACATTATCTCTCTCTATGTAAGTCACGTTCTTATCATTTACTTTATCTTTATGTCACAACTTTTTTAACGACATAGTAGTCATTTTTGTTCAACGTTCGCCTACTATATAAAGATACATAGATAATACAAGCTTACAACTATCAGTAATGACAGTAATAAGAGTAACACTCCTGCTATTCATTTTACCATTCGTTGATGTGAAAGTTTACATATTTAACACGGTAGATAGTCCTTCGGTTGAATTATATGACTGTATTCTTCATAATGAATTGTCTTATTGTCGTCGACCTAAGGAACCCATCGATTTGAATAGAAACAAGGATACCAAACAATGTTATCGTAATGGAACTCTTCATTCGTTTGCTGATCTTTCCGCGGCTAATATTAGTATTAGCATTGTTTTGCATCAATGGAAATCAAGTATTGAGAAAGCTGAACAGTATTCTCGTTACATAGCAAATCCGAGAGAACTCGATGGATATGTCTGCGAATGCACAAATCCACAATCCTTCGGAAAGAATTGTGAATATCTCTTGCCAATCGGTACGACGTTTGCACAGACACTTACAGAAGAAAATGCACTGAAAATAAAGAATTCAAACAATGTACAATTGTATGGCGATATTATTTGTCATCTGACATTAGAATGTGATTCGGGTCAATTATGTCTAGACTGGCGAGATATTTGTGATGGAGTTCAACAATGTATGTCAGGATTGGATGAAGAAAATTGTGACAAACTTGAATTTAATGAATGTGAGAATAATGAATATCGGTGTATGAATGGAATGTGTGTTCCTGAAGAATAATTTCTTGATGGTGAATTTGATTGTTTGGATTGGAGTGACGAAATTCAATATTATGGTAATAGGAGCTGTGTAATAAACGGAGCTAGTACTCAATGTGATGATCGGATCTGTCCACCAAATCAATGGTCATGTGGAGATGGACAATGTATTCTTGATCGATTTCCATTTCAGAAATCATCACAAGAGAAACCGGAATGTATAAATCAGCGTGATAGATATTTTATTTGTGAAACACATCACTCGCTAAAGGTGTGGACACTATCTAATGGTCGATGTTATGAAGGTGAAAAATATGAAGAGTTAAATGTGACCAATCGTACTATTCTTGAACAATGTCAATATCTTCTCAAGTGTGTCTTATCAGGAGGACAAGAAAAAAATTGTCCTGGTGACGATAATTCTTCCAGTGTTCATTACCTTAACACTGGTTGCCATTTGGATTATATTCAATATCCAAAAGCAGGAATTATGGCTCCATATGTCTTATTTTTCTATAACCGAACACGGAATTCTTCTTCAAGTAGACCGGACTTTATGTTGATCAATGGAACGATTAAATGTGAAGGAATATTAACTGACATTCATAACGTTCAATTGTCAGATTTTCTAACACTTCGTCAGCTTGAACGGACATTATGCCAACGGGCAAAGAATGAATCTGTTGTCAATAGTCACGTTTATGATCAACATTGTCATCATACATCATTAACATTCAATAATCGCTCATATAGTTTCAGTAATGTTTGTAACGAGTCGAAAGAATGCATTTCAACTTATCGTATGAGAGATGGATTTGTAAATTGTGTGGATAAAATGGATGACAGAAATGATATCTCTATTTCTACAATCTGTTCGAAAATGCAACGCTATCGTTTTCGTTGTTCTGTTGACGAACCAACTTGTTTGAGCATTACTACTCTTGGAAACGGACAAGAAAATTGTAAAAATGGATACGATGAGTCATGGCTGGGCACGGGGACAAAACTAGTAGATATCAATTGTAATCAATTGCAGAAAGATCAATGTGAAATCCTTCGACAATACATCGAGAACTCTTGGACATTATATAACACGAGTGATGTTATTGGACGACTTCGAATACCGTTTCGTCAGTATTGTGACACATTCTGGAATTTAGCTTTCAAAGAAGATGAAAATGTGCACGAATGTGAACACTGGTGGGCATGTCCAGAAGAACAATGGCAATGTTACACGGGACAATGTATTGATGCCAGTTGGGTTTTAGATGGAGAGTGGGATTGTTTCGATGCATCAGATGAAGATACTCTCTTTAGCCGATCAACCTCACCTCGAAACATGCAGGCGATTGATTTTTCTACGCTCTGGAATAAACGTAACACTTTGAATAAACCAGCAATATTTTCGACAATTTGCAATGTGTTCACAGAATTTCCATGTTTTCCTGTCAACGTTTCTATTTCACTAAATAACTTCACATCTCATCCACTCTGCATTAATCGACATCAAATTGGAGATGGTCGTATTGATTGTTATGGAGCCATTGATGAACGTAATACTATCGAACATTGTGATCAACGAACAATGCTTGGATATAGTTTTAAATGTATGTCCAGTCATCAATGTTTTCCATACTCGGATCATTGCTTAGGACACCGATGCGCTACAAGTTCTGATGATGAATTTTGGTGTGGTCTTCGGCAAAACTCGTTTAGTTGCAATCATTTTTTAGATTCAGTTTGTTTTAATGGCACTTGTGTAAAATCTGGTCGATGCAATCAAATTCCAGATTGTTCTTATGGTGAAGATGAATATATGTGTGAATATCAACGTAATCCAGCATTGATCAATGAACTTTATCGTCAAAAGAAAGAGTTAATCGTCAAGAATAGCAAGCAGAAACTTCGATTCAGTCCGTTTCCGACTAATGCAAACGTAACTAAAACAGAAAAGACCTCGAGCACAGGTAAAACACGAACAATAATGGCTTCATCGAGTGCCACATCAGTATTAGCTGCTTATTGGTGTAATAGGGGTCTTGGTGTACAAACGTACAACAAGTCAATTGCTTGCTTTTGTCCACCACAATACTATGGTGATAAATGTCAATATCATACTGATCGCATAACTGTACTATTTCATCTCGATCTTTCTCAATCGATCTATACAATCAATAGCAAAATTGAGACCGTACTGAAGATAATAGGTCTATTTCTTTTCAATAATGAAGTAATTATGAATCATATATTTCATGTTCGGCCAACTGCTGAACTGTTAGTTTATAGGAAGAAGATGGTTCATTTTCTCTATTCTCGTTCATCTCGATTTCTTCATCATAAAAGAGAACGATACTTTAACCAATCAAACATCATTAATGATCATCCATATTCAGTTCGTATCGAAATGTACGAAACAACAGGTTTCGAAAAACCTCTACTTATGGCCGTTTGGCAATATCCTATCTATTTTGACTATTTACCTGTTTTCCGTCTAGCTAAAGTTCTTCGATTGACAAAATCAATGATGGAACAAAACCCGTGTTCAAATAATCTTTGTAATTCTAATCAAGAATGTCAACTATTAATCAATGGCAAATCGAAATATATATGTCTTTGCAAGAGAAATTTTAGAGGAGAGAATTGTTCAATTGAAGATCGACAATGTATGGATGATTATTGTGCTGCTGGATCTCTATGTAAACCAAATTATCGAGGTTTAGTAGCTGGAAATGAACTACCTTATTGTATTTGTCCATTTAATCGATTTGGTGAGCGTTGTGATGTTGTGCATGATCAATGTTTATCAAAGCCTTGTCAAAACAATGGTTCATGCTTTCCGACTTCAAAACCAGATAGTATTTCGTGTGTATGTACTGAACAATACTATGGTTCGAATTGCGAATTGAGAAAACCAGAAATTAAATTACATATTAATGAAAGTGTTAGTCATGCAGCAGCCGTAGTTCAATACTTTGATATTGATTTCACTTCACTCAACCTCATACTTGGTCATCAACGAGTCTATCCAATTCTTCCAACATACATTGAATATCGACATGAAAAAACAACCGCACCAGAAATTATCTTAGTCAAATTGTATTCTTCACAGATTGACCTTCCCGCTCAACTGTATTTGATCTCCCTTCACGTTGATGTTACATCGATTCAAGCAATGGCTCAAGTGATCGAAAAAACTCTATGTGTCGATTTCCGTATGTTAGTTGCAGACAATCAGACACAAACAATCTCTAATTATTCTCCAATCAAATATCATTATATATGTCAGAATAATACAAATCTGTTGTGTTTTCAAGACGATTTTTATTTGTGTATCTGTTGTGACAATCATTCTCGAGTAGAATGTTTTCGATACGATTCTAAACTCGATCATTGTTCCTATTGTCTAGCTGGTGGTGGTTGTTTGATAGGTGATCGATTTCAAGCAAAGGATTTTATGTGTTTATGTCCACCATGTCATTCAGGTCGTCGTTGCCAATTCAATTCAAAATCATTTGTTTTTACTCTTGACCAACTCTTCTATACAGATCTGATTTCTAGTCACAAACAAACGACGATTCATTTGCTAATTGCTGGTTCTCTTCTAGGATTCGTGCTTGCTATACCAAACAATCTCTTCTCTTTTTTAACTCTTAAACGACGACAATGTCTTCGCACTGGTATTGGTCAATATTTGCTTTACATGAGTGTAATCAATCAGATTAATCTCGGTCTTCTGACCGCTCGTCTGACTCATCTCACTGTTACTATTGCAATGTCTCGCCCTGTTTCCATCATTAATCACATTTTCTGTAAGATTCTTAACTATTTACTTACTTGTTTCACTCGTATTTCCTACTGGCTCATCTCTTTCGTCGCAATCGAACGTGTTTACACGACACTATTCTTGAGTGGACAAAGGTTTAAAAAGCCTCATATCGCTCGTCGATTGATAGCACTGACATCCTCCATCATTCTGCTTTCTGCTGGCTACGAGCTCATATTTGTCAAATCATTCTCTGATAGCGAAGGCGAGAACGCTACTATGTGTGTGATTGAATTTCCGATCGCTCATCAGTCGATATGGGTACTTGTCCATCAGATTATCTCTATCATTAATTCCATCTTGCCGCTGTTGATCAATATCTGTTGTACAATCACGATCATTTGTATAATCACTAAGAAGAAGATGAACATTCATGTTCCTAATAAATGTAAGTAATTGCCATATATACCATCTGTTTCGCATTGGACTCCTCGAGTCATTTTAGATCGTCAACGAACAACAAGCACATCGACAATGAACAGAAATGTGTACGAGTCAACTGGACGACAAGCAGCTGTGCTTGCCAACAAAATTCGAAGTAACCTAGAAGAAAGTTATTAATGCTGTTTGTCGGGAGAGATGCATTGCTTACTTGAGAAGAATGAATTGATGATTTCAGTCAAGAACACGTAGATTCGATTTTGAGAATCTAGTTCTTGCAAAACTTGAAGAAACATACACAGATGACTTAGAAAAATAACAGACCTTTTTTGAATAGAAAACATCATTTATTTGATGCAGTAGACTACATCATGTCAGTATTGTTGAATAATATAGTAAAATTGAACCTGTTCTAATCCGAGTTATATTTTCAACTTTACTTACAGATATGAATAGGAAACTCTAAAAATCGAGCAAGATTCTATTAATTCCTTTTGACATAAGACGGAGTTTGTCTGCATGGTAGAATATTAATATCGCTCAGACAAACGAACAGTTTTCCAAATCTAGTTCTTCAAAATGATTTTATTGGATGAATTTGTTTCTTTTGAGATCGTAACATGCACGAAACACGTGATCATCTGAATCTGCTACGCAACGTGTTGAACGATCATAAAGAAATACTTGCTCGACCTGTCATTACGCTTATTCCTTCAATATTCTCTCTTTTCTCATTGCCTCTTTTCATCGTATCGTTTTCGCTCGGTTGTCGAGATCTGGAAACCAGTCCATTGCGTCATCTTCTGATTACATTCTACTTCATCTCGTTCATTCCCCAAATGGTCACTTTTTTCCTGTACATATACCCATCGTCATTCTACTTGAAAGAATGGCACGCAACGATAGTCGGCAAATGGATAGCTGCTCTGCGACAACCAAGTTTGTCGACAAATACCACGGTTCTTTCTACAGTGAAAAAACAGGAAACAATAGACTCATTCGATTCTAAGAGAAATTGAACAGCTCCTTATTACTGTCACGTTTTAGGTGTAATTTTCGATCGTATGTGACAACATTCAGCCTATTCGTAGAAATGGTTTTCTTTGAAAATTGTTATTTCCACTTGGCGCACGATGGACAAAAAGAAAGCTTTGATCGAAAAATATAGCTGACTTTGGATTGAAATCCTAGATATTTGGGTCGTTCGCTAGAAGCAATAAAGTCGGATCATCCAAGTTATGACAATTTTGAGGGTGTATGAGAGTGAGTGGGTGCGTGAGGCTAGTGAGGGTGGGTGGCTGAGAGTGAAGAGAAGACCATCAGCTCCATTCACCCTCACCCTCATGTATCAATCTGGTATATATACAAAAAAATCTTTTCAGTTGGATTTGTTTCATCATTAGCCTGATGATGACGCAATAGTGTCAAAAGCTTGCAATAAACAAATGAAAAACTTTCTGTGTCTTTTACTTTATATTTGAGTGAAAACGTTCATTCTGAGTAAGTTACATTGAAAGTTGCATATTTGCAAGGAAAAGTTATCTTTATTCATACGGAAACGTTAATACAGAGCTGTCGGTCGTTCCAATATCATGAAAATGTGTTGATGTGAAACACAATATCGTTTGAAAATAAATAGTTCTTAAAAGAACACGTATATGTTCAAGCCTCTATTTGATCACTTGTTTTACTTGTTCTATGAGACCGTTGGCACCATCCAATACTCGGCAAATTTCACTAAACGATTTACAGGTATAGGATACGAACGTGGGTGTCTTAATTTTAACAGCATTCTCTACTAATGACCATGCCTTTTCGAAATAGACAAGAGTCGATTCAGGATCATTTGAGACCAATGATTTTTTGCCTTCTTCGATAAATTCTTTACTCATATCTCGAGCAAGACGCATCAGAAGATCGTATTCATGATCAAAGATTTGTAATTTCAAGCCTGTCTGAACATATTTCAAAGCCCACTGGGTGTGTAAACGTGGGTGTAGGCCCATATAAGATGAAGTGGTATTCACACCCACAGCTACACCCGCACTTACTCACAGTCATATCTCAATATATGATGAAACAATTTAATGATGAAACAATTTAATGATGAAAGAATTTTATTATTGACATAACAAAGAAACGAACACAAATATTGTTGTTATTGCATCTTATCAATCCGTTTTCATTCAATTCTTTTCTTTTTCTTCAGAGTAGATTTTGAGACGGCTACGACAACTGACAAAACTTCGTGTGCGAAATGCAAAAAAGTCAGAAACACAGTGACATTTGGTGGATGTTCCCAAGATTTTTGCTTTGATCATATCCCTGAACATTGTAATGAATAGAGGGAACCATAACATCAATGTGAAGATCATTTTAATGAGGTGAAAGTTAAAAGTTGCTGAAGCAAAAATTGGAACAGAGAAAAGTGATTTAATGAAGCAAACTGATAAATGTGGAGTTTGTATCAATTGAAAAGATTCGACAAATGACCAATGAAATTCGCCATCAAGTTTCATGGTGTAGTATAAAATTTGTTACTGATCTTGATTTTAAATTAAAACAATTAGCAGAACACATTATTCAATGCCTTCAAGAACATGATTTTTCTGACGTTGAAATTAAATCTTTTAATAAAGAACTTAAACGATTAAAAAATATTTTCAACAATCGAACATATTTCAAAATTGAACAAGATTCATCAATAAAATTCGTCTTACAAAAAAAAAACGGTAAATCGTGTCTTTAATTGAAATCGGAAAAAATCGAAAACGTTTCTCTTCCTTTCTGTTTTTTAAATGAAGAAAATCAATTGTTCAACTCTGTTAAATTTCATTTCATGGAGAAATTTTTCATGTTCAAGAATTTCATCCTAAAATTTCTTTGAGATGAAAGACAATATGTGCGACCAGATTTTCTTTTAAAGTCTTCAAATTTGAATGAAAAATTCAAAAGAAAAATTAACACAACAATCGATATCAACACAAAATAATTGTTTTCATTGAAATTTCAAAATTTTCTCTCGACAAGTCCTTATAGACTCTGTTCCTCGTTTCAAATGGAAGAACACTAATTTATGAAAGTGAAATATTCAATAAATATTTATAACATTTCTCAATTGTAAAAAAACAAAACATCAATCGATTTTAAACTGAATTTTAATGAAAATATTTTTGAAGAATCGATTCAACAACAAACAAATTTTTAACATATTGTGGATTGTTGTGTTTAGACTCAAATATGAAATGTACGAAATAATTATTCATCTTAAAAGAATAATAATAAAAATAAAAAAATTTGAGAAACTTTATTTATTTGTATCGAAGAACAATTTGGATTTAGTCAATGTTCGAATTTTTCTTTCAGATAAACGAACAAAAAAGAACAAGCGAATCACTAAATCTTCAATTTCATGATGTGACCTTATTCGATAAACATAAAACACTTTCAGAAAAACCGATTCAGTTTTGATTCGATTTAATCATAATGAGATCTTCTTCGTTACAACTAATTGCATACAGAAATTTTTAAGACAACATCCAATATGAATATTACATAAAAATGCATAGCAACACAATAGATTTTTTTTATCAAAATTCAAAAAGCACAAAACAGATCGGAACTTTGAACAATTCGAACGATTTGATTCATTTATTCATTCTCTTGATATAAAGTCAAACGCAATAAAAGCAATGATTTTTGATATAGTCATTTATATTTGAAATCAATTTTCTCTAAAAGATTAATTCATTTCTGAATGTATTTCTACAGGACAAACTTTTAATCATTCGTCCTTAAAATAATTTAAAATAAGTGAATAATTGTTCGAAAAGATAATTCTCTTATTTGACGTAATCTCATTCAATTTCCATCATGTATTATTAAGTCATTCGAATTTTCTTCATCTGATTATTTCTTCAATCGATCGATCGATTTTTGTTCAGAAATAATAAATTATAGAAAAAAAAAGATTCTTGTCTGACTTTTTTCTATTGTTTTTATCCTAAAACACAATTGCTTCATTCGATAGTTGATGATTACTTCTTTCGTAAATAAATATTTCAAAAGTTAAAGATTAATTCTTTTCGTTGATCGACAAAAATACCTCGTTTACGTTAAACAGAAGGATGTTGGATGTGCTTGTGGGTGTGGGTGTATATTAGAAACAGGTCCATATTCACAATCACACTCACACTCATCCACAACCGTCCATTCACTGCACACCCACATCCTGAAAACAAGAAAAATGAGTGCCGTATTGCTGCGTTCTGTTTATCTTCATACACCAGATGACATTATTTTTTTTCTTCCTACCAACGTTCGCTTGCTTTGATAGCGGCTGAGAGTCGTGACTGTGAATCATAAGCTGTACACCTGAGTATCACTTTCACATCAACATTCACGTGTTTTTTCTTAATCATTTGCATTTCTCTTCGCTGATCAACCGTTCTATACACTATGAATTTAATTTTGCACCGGTCAACAATCGACACTCCTGACGCCACTGTGCCAATACGAATCTATCACAATGGCGATATTCCGTACGAGCATGTCCGTTCCGTACTCGGCCCACTTTTCGAAAATTATTATGGTGCTCAAGGTCTTCGAGGCATGGTCGAAAATATCGATCACATCTGGTGTGCGTACGATATCTTTACAGATCAATGTATCGCTTGTGCTCTTGTTCAATATGAATCTGACCGTGAAACACTTTACATCAAACTATTCGGTGTGCGCCGTATTAGTCAGGGCCAAGGTGTCGGAAGTCGTTTATTGGATGCTGTTCTATCTTGGGCTAAACGCCAAAGATATCTAGCCGTTGTGCTTCATACTCAAGTCGATAATTACAAGGCCATTGGTTTATACGAAAAAATGGGCTTTCACAAACAGCTGTACTTGCCGAACTTTTTTCATTCTCAAACACCTCTATGGTCACTTCTATCGGGTGAACCAGATGCATTTCTGATGGTTGCCCATTTGAATGAGATAATTGCGTGAGAGCGATACGATCAAGACAAACAACCAAAATTTTCTTAAAGACATGTTTCATCATTGCAACGAATCGAAAAGAGTGTGGAATATGGGTGTGGGGTGTGAGTGTTGATGTAGACCAGAACAACACTCATGCTCACACCCGCACCCTATTCAAATTTTAGTAGTGTTATGTTCCAATACACACATAAATACTTTAACAACTCTTGCGAACAGAAACTCTTAGATAGCTAAACTGAAAATGTGATATACAGAGGAATGAGGAAGATGGAGTGTTCTCAATTGGAGCATTCAATAGATTAAGAATAATTAGCAAGGTATAGGCCAGCAGTTGAACTAAGCATAGATCGAGTCCGAGTCTACACCGAACAGCTCGATCTCGCTCTCTGCAAGACTGGGTCATTATTTTGAAAAATACCGGTTCTCCATTCATAAATCATGGTGTTAACCTTGTAAATATTTCCCTCTCATAAATATTTCATTGCTTCTATTGTAGCATTGCATCGATAATACTTCACATTCACTGTTACGAAGGAATAGATGTATGCTGTATGTAGGACAGGACAAAACTTAGGAAGTCAACATCAAGATGAATCGATAAAGACGATCTATTACAAAACAAAGATCGAGCCCGAACTGCTTAGACTCAGCCTATACCGATGAAGAACATATATAAACGAAGATTGAAACAGAGCGCACGTTTTTCATACCTGACCAGAAAAAAGAAACATTATTTAAAAAGAGACTATACCAAATTATTTGTGTGTCACATGACACTCATTTGGTAGTAATTGCATGGTAGTTTCATCATACCTGACGCGGCACTTTATAAACACTAAAAGAAAAAAAAGACTGAATGCATGTATCATACGCTACATATTTGCCTTGTTATTGCATCACCAATAGAAAAAAGAACGAAAAAAAAAGAGAGCATCACTCTGCAAGTTATGAAAAACAAGCTATCGAAATGAACGTGGAAAGTTCCAACATAATAAAAACAAATTATAACTGGATTACGGTTTTTGTTCAGTGGAATGTCGGTGCGAGCGTGTAGTCGTCTATCACTAAATTGGTTCTAGTTCTGTCAAAGTCTTATGACAATAGGGTTTACTATATATCATTCGACACGCCGCAAAAAAGCTCTACAATGTGGCATATTTGATTTTTCCTTTCCGAATAAATTACTTTATCCGACAAAGTCCTTTAAACACCGTGATCAGAACTTTTGGTCAATACTAAGTAGTTTCCAATCCTATAGAACAATCAGACACATATGCGCCCACACCATCCTGCATACTTCAACATTCTTTTTCGATCGTGTTTCACAAAATAGGAATCGATTTTGGTTTGCTTTATAAAAATACCTTTAATATATGTTTTATTTTCTTCTAACTCTTCAAATAAAACAATAAAAAAAGATACGTATTGAAAATTAGATCTTTTATTTATCTACATACAAAAAATGAACATGTTTAAACGAAATTTTAACCACCGTATATATAAATTACGATTAATAAATCTAATACAGTAACTATTAAGTAAATTTTCTGATTTAATTAATGCATTCAATTCCTTTAAACATAGTTTTGGTACATCTGAAATACATAAGAAGAATAAATGTTGTATTTTATTGTTGTTTTTGATAGTAAATATCTTTTTATTCGTCGAATTTCTTTATAATTTATTTCAGTTTTTAAATATTCTAATTGTGAAAATAAATTAATAATCAGTTCAATATGATTGAATTCACACAATTGAAAAAGATCTAAATACTTTATTTGATTTGTTTTTGATACATATTGAAAATTTTCATTTTGTTGAATTAATCTTAAATCATTTTCGTTCAAAGATAATGATTTCAATTTTAATGTATGTAAATTCGGTGTAAAACTTAACAATTTAATCAGTTCTTTAAAAGAAAAATCATGACATTGAATAGTTAATTTCTTCAATTGTGTTAAACGAATCATACAATCAAGACTTGTTGTAATCGAACCGTTCGATGTTCGGAGATAACGCTTTATTCTCATTTGAGTAATATTAGGAAAATAATTTAGATGAACATTTTTTTATTTCATAACTAAAAATCAAAATATGTTGAATTGAATTTAAATTAGATTCTTGAACATGTGAACACTCTTTTGAATCTCTCTCTGCCAAAGAAATTTATAATCCTTTCGTTTAAAACAAGAATAAAAGACAAACTAACATATGGCCTAGAATAATTATTTGCTTTTTACTTGGAGTTTTCAAATATTTTAAAACAGACTTTTGTAACGTTTTTCGATAGAGCATTAGATGCTCCATGAAACTGTTGACTCTTTTTAGGAAATATTCATAGTGGATGAGCAAGCACCAAGAAAACATTAAATCAAGCTGTACTTCAATTCAATTAGATTCGTTTTCGATCTCTAATGTAACACTACTGATCAAACATTATTTGATAATTGTCCATTTACAAAAAGAAAACATTAGCGAACTGTATCAGATTCTGACCTCGAAATCCGACTTCTACGTTGTAGGACAGATTCCAAGAAACTTTTATTGAGAGGGTGTGGTTGTCAGTGTGGATGTGGGTGGTGTGGGTATGGTTATGAGTGTGGGTGTTGACTTTATGATTCTGTGTACCCACACCCACCCTCAAATTGGTTGTTACCTACCTTCTACATTAAATTGTTCTTCAGACCATCACCTATGTGTTTCACCTGACACAAATCAACTGATGTACCTATCTGTTAAGAGAATAAATGGTAACAAGATCGATTGTCTTGGTGCTACTGATGAGCCATCATTAGGTCAAAAAAGATTAGACGAAGAATATCTGTCCAAATTTTATTGTACCAAACAAAGCTTTCTTCAATGTGTTGATCAAGCAGCACTATGTGATAGGCATAAACATTGTATTCATGGAGATGATGAACAATTTTGTGAAAAAAATCGAACAAAAACTAACTTGTGTGGTATGATTCGTTCTGCCAATTGCCTATCCATTCGTTCTGAGGTCGAGGACTTTTTATGTCAAACAATTCAGTATAAAAGGAAACAACTAATTAAATATTTTTCATTAGATGAATTATGCGAATCCGTCATAGATCCAACAAAGATTGGCACAAAAGTCGATTTGCCAACATTAAATATAATGAAAACGTTTCAAAAATATCAACATCGATGTCATCGTGGTTTTGATTTACGTGTATGGTTAAACAATGAAAAGAACTTAACAACAAATACATGTCTTTGTCCACCTAGTTCCTATGATGATCAATGTCAATATCAAAATCAACGAGTGAGTTTAACTATTCAATTTCAAACATTATCAGATTCTTGGTCAACATTATTTGCTATTATTGTTTCGCTTATCAATAATAGTGAAGAAAGAATAATTCATTCATATGAACAGTTTACTTATTTGTCAACAAGAGATTGTAAAATTAAATTTAATATTTATTTACTCTATTCAACTCGACCAAAAAATAAAACAAAAAATTATGCAATACATATTGATATCTATGAAAAAAAGTTCATTAATTTATCGAGGAAGTTTATTATATCCAATAAAATTTCCATTTTTACCTGTTCATCGTCTAGCATATATAGTTACTATTCCACGAAATAATGAAAATATTCAGATATGTTCAATTTCTCAATGTATTCATGGTAAATCTATCATATATTCAAATAATCCACAAAATGATATTTTTTGTCAATGTAATCCTGGATGGTCTGGAAGATATTGTACTATTCCTCATGATTGTACTTGTTCATCAGATTCAATATGTATTGGTGTATCTGCTCACAACCGATCTATATGTGTTTGTCCTATTCATAAATTTGGTTATCAATGTCTTCTTGTCGATACAATTTGTCAATTGAATAATAATTCAACATGTTTGAATGGTGGTCAATGTATTCCTATTGATGAATATATGTCATGGAATCAGAAATTTACATGTATTTGTCCAAAAGGTTATACTGGTGATCTATGTGAAAAAGTAGATAACAAAATTATTTTATCATTTAAAAAAGATATTATTTCATCTCCATCAATATTTATTCATTTCATAGAAGTTATTAGTGATGTAACACCAAAGAGAACAACAACTTTTCGAACAATTCCTCTACAACAGGATTCAATTATACTATATTAGTCACGACCATTTCATCTTGTTTTTATTGAAGTTTACAATAAAATTTATTATTTAGCTATTATTCAAAAAAATTATAGCCAATCAACAACCATTGCTCCAACGATAAAGCCGTCCGATCGTTGCCAACATGTAAATGAATTATTTCATGAAAGTTTTATTCAAATGCATTGTCTTCGTCATATTAAATATTACCATTTACCATGTCAAAGAAATTCATCAAATCTAGCTTGTTTTTATGATAATGTTTCGATTTGTTTATGTTATAATTATGGCAAACAACGTTTAGCAAATTGTTTTGATTTTAATCATGATATGAAATCAGATTGTTTAGGTCAAAGTGTTTGTGAAAATGATGGTTAATGTTTTCAAGACACTCCGGATTGTCCAGAAAGATCACTATATATTTGTCAACCATGTTTTTATGGAACACGATGTCAATTTACAACGAATGGATTTGGTTTATCTCTAGATGCTATCTTAGATTATCACATTCAATCAAATATTAACATTATAAATCAGCCAAATATTGTTATAATTAGTTTAATATCAACTTCCATCTTGATGATTGTAGGATTGATCAATGGAGTTTTATCTTTGATTACATTTAATAATAAAATAATATGTGAAGTTGGTTGTGGTTTATATTTATTAGGTTCATCGATTACAACATTACTTACAACTATTTTATTAGGATTGAAATTTTGGATACTTATTTTAGCACAGATGTCCCTTGTAAAAAATCGATTATTCTTACAAATTCAATGTATATCGCTCGATTTTTCTCTTACGAGTTTGTCTTAATATGAATCGATGGTTGAATGCGAGTGTTGTGGTTGAACGCACTATTACAATAATAAATGCTACTCATTTTCGAAAGAAAACAAGTAGAAAAATAGCTAAAATAGTTATTATTATTCTTTTGATTTTCATTATTGGTATGGTGTATTGCTACGTATCCATCTAGTTTACAAATATTCAATTCTATTATACAGGGTGGTAAATAATATTATTCCAGGGGGGTAACAGTATGATCTCGAATCGGAGATATCATGAATTTTATACCAAATGAAAGCCCGTGAAAAATGGGGTTTAGTGATAGTAAATAGTAAGACTTTGAAGAACTTTCGTGTACCAAATTTTTAAAAACAACGAAATTTTCTTTCAAAAACACGTTAAAAATCATTTTTCATACATTTTGAGACATTGAAAACGAACATTTTTTATGAAAACGAAAGAGAAATGATAACGATGATGATATATGACTATGACTCACACAATAAGATGGTTCTTTGGCGTTCTGTTCTTCTCTCCACGTGATACTAGTTATTTGAAAAATTTTTTCGTTCTCGGACTGTCTGAAAGTTATAGTCGAGTGAAATCTCAGTGTTTTTTCGTTTGTTATTTCAAATGGCTGGCGCTTATGATACCGAACAACAAAGAATGATTGATAGAATTAAATGCATTACTTTCCGAGAAGCTCGTGATGCTGGTGCAACATTTATAAATAGACAATGGATTGCCGACAAAATTCACCGTACGACTCGATTTGTTACAGAATGGTGGGAAAAATCGTGTGACCAATGTTTTGCTGATTATTCGAATGCTGGTCCTAAACTCAAGTTATCGAGAGCTGCTCAGGACATTATTCGTGAAGCAAGTGGTCACCAACGGAAAAGCGGTTCTGTCGTGGCGAAAGAGATTGCAAAGAAACAAAAAGAATATGTTACTCGACAAACAGTTAATAACTACCGTCGTAGGGAAGGATTAAAGCCTTTTCATGTTATTTCAAGACCGTTAAAATCTGAAACTCATATATCAGATCGATTATGGCTCTGTGATTGGTTGAAAGATTGGACTGAAGAAGATTTTCTTCATCTGGCACCATCAGATGAATTTTATGTTTGGACAGTTCGCAAACCAAATTATCAAAATGATAGGATTTGGGCAAAAAGTGTTGAAGATATTGAAGACGATGAAAGGTATCGCGAAATGGTTAAAAACCAAGCGTGTATCGGTATTTTTATCATTTTCACCGCGAAAAAAATGCATTGGGTGATTAAAGACAAAGGTGAATCTTGGACCGGTCAATATTTTCGTGACATTATTTTAATGCAACACGTATTTCCATTCCTCACCGACGAGGAAAACGTAATTGATCTGGATAATGTGATATTTGTTCACGATAAAGCACCGTGTATGCGAGCAAACATGACTCAACATCTGATTAGAGATAACAAAATCGAGTTTTGGGGCAATGATATTTGGCCTGGTAATTCGCCCGATCTCAATGCGGCGGAACATATTGGATCAATAATGAAAGATGAAGTTGAACAAAAAATGTTATCGGAAACTGGACATAATCGATATAGTGAAGACACACTTAAAAAGCACATTGCGGATGTTTTGACGGACATGGAAGAAAATACCGAATTGTTTGAAGCTCTTTTATGTTCGTATCCATCTCGACTTCGTGCAGTAAAGAGTGCTAATGGTCGTCATACTGATTATTGATTGTACTCAATAAATAATAAGAAAATAAACAGTTGTACAACATATAGTTTAGCCCCGAACTTTTTCGATGAACTGATTTTATAATATTTTATGTCGATAAAAATCGTAACGTTTGATAAATTAATACAAGAAAGTTCTTCAAAGTCTTACTATTTACTATCACTAAACCCCATTTTTCACGAGCTTTCATTTGGTATAAAATTCATGATATCTCCGATTCGAGATCATAGTGTTACCCCCCTGGAATAATATTATTTACCACCCTGTACATATATTTCATGGTTTAGCGCCATTTATTATTAATCTAATATCAGCTGTTATTATCATAACGAAAAAAATCTCGTCTACAATCCAATGTTCGACATAATCCAAATCATAAACAACTTGTAAAAGAACAATTTCAACAACATAAACACTTATTTACAACGCCTATCACATTTGTTATTCTTGGATTACCACGTATAATCATTGTATTTGTATCAAAATGTATGAAATCAACAAATGATGCATGGTTATTTCTTATTGGATATTTTATTTCATTTTTGCCACCTATGCTCACATTTATTGTATTTATATTTCCATCAAAATTTTACAAAGAACAACTTCGTAAAACTATTAAAGCTTATCGACATAAAATACAACGACGTTTGAATTATTTTATATAAAAAAGTAATTAACATGACTTTCATTTTTTTTACTGTATGAAATGATGTAGTTGAGTATTGGGAACCATATGGCAGAAGTTTTACACCGGAGCAATCTTGGAAATCGGTAAAATATTTTGAGCTGAACTCTTGTGTCGGAAAATAGCATGTTCTTATCTTATTGTAACAACTGACTTCTATCAAACTGTTTGAGTCGTTCATAAATATACTATTATAGGACTTCCTTTATGTGCCGTTTCAACAGCTATTAGACAGTGTATTGAATGTTTTGATTAACATAGAGGATAAAAAGTGTAAGTTTTTGAAGCTACTAATTGAATCATTATAGTAAATCCTATGATTGTATTTCAACTAACAACTAAAATAATATATAAAAAACTATCATAATGCAATTACATCCGATTTTGACGGAATTTTGAAGGATTTCTTTTTCAGATAATCTATTTATCTATCCTGTGAAGACACAATGAATATGAAAACAATTTTAAACAGTTTATTTGTGTTTGTATTGTATGCATCATGTATTAAATTTGTTTTGTTGCTTTATTTTTTCATCATATGTATATTCTTAAGTGTGAACTAATCTGATGTTGTATTTTTATTTCAATCATATGATTTCAACAAAATTATGTTTATAGTCGGTTTCCTTTCATCTTGTATCAACAAAATATAATCAATAAAATCATTTGATCAAAGATAAACAGTTCTGTTCAGTTTATTTTAGTACAATAATTTTTCTGTAAAGAACAAGTCTTGAATGACATTACACGAAGAATTGATTATAAATTTCTAAAAAGGTCAAAAACGGTTCACACAAAATGTGATACTATCTTATTTTATTAAAATCACTGTATTATGTGTGAGTGAAACGATGATTTTCAACATGGATAATGAAGACAGATTGACGAAAAAGTGGCCTCATTATGACATTTATCTATTGAAAAAATGGTACTGTCCATACTATATCATTTCTGATTTGGACATACTCGAACCGTAATCAGTTGAATCATTACCAAAAGCTATTGATATTTTATTACAAGTAGATGTGAATGAGATCCATAAAGTACAAATGTTTTCTACTAGTGCAAAATTTACATGATTATCGGAAATTTAAAAAAAAAGATTGGATTAGTTTAGATTCAAAATTAACAGCTGATGATGATGATGACGACACGAATATGGGCAAAATAATGACGATTCTGAACACATGGCGTGGCTTGGATGGTTGATCGATAATTATTCTTATGAATCCGAAATGTGGCTAGGTGAAGCCAGAATAGAAAAAAAACCTCTCAAGAGTTATCATTGAACTATTTCAAGATGTTTCTGATCCATGTTTAACTTTGAAACTATTGTATTAGCAGCAACGATTGAACAATATGACAGTTTCAACCTTATTGTGATGTTCTTTCAATCGAAGTTTTTGTATCGAATTCCAGAGTTATTGACTCTCAGCCTTGAAATATGCCAAAAATATAACCGAATCGACATTGACATGCTGAATGTCACAAAAAAATCTAGAACGATATAGAATCAAGTTGAAAATTAGAGAATCACACATGATTTGGGTTTTCTATACTGGTGTAAAAGTAATGAATTCATATCGATGAAATTAACATTTCTGTTCGGTTGTCAAGATTTATATTTTCGATGAGCATCATTCTAGACAAAACTTGTTAGCACAGCTCATTCAGGGTCCAAGCTTGGAAATCACAAACGTTGACTAGTGTAAATTTATGCTATATTGTTTGAGACGTTGAAATAATTTTTAAAAATGTCACATAAAAAATACACGTTGTGAACTTTTATTATATTGAAAATGTTCTCATTTCTACTATTTATTTCACTAATTCATCAGGTTTGTTTAACATTGTGGGTCATGCAATACTAATACAACATAGGTAATGATAATCATTTTAAAAAAGACATACTTCTTTTCCAACGATAATCGATTGTTAACCAGAGTTACCTTTTTCATTGGTGCATTTCAAACAAGTATTTTGTAATATTTTTTAATTTTATCTGGATGGATAAAAGACTATAGCTCATCTCTCATTAGAAACTTTAGTACTTTCATCAATACTAAAATTTCATGAAATTCTTTGAATCTCTTCTCTTCTCTTAGTCGAAAACTTGTATTATGTATTCTAAACAGACACTGATTTATTCAATTCGATCAATTACTTTCATTCATATCAATAAGTGAAAATATTGCATTTTTTTTTCATAATCTACGTCGAATACAAATGATGAACTATCATTTCATAGCGACCGATTCGTTTAATTCAGAAATATGTAGCGGCTCGATCGAGAGTTGTCGATGAAGTTATGCCGCTACTTATTGTGAAATTACATAGCAAATTCCAGCATCAATATGAACAGTAGGTATTTCACAATTAAAGTCAGCTTTATCTTTCTTAATAATAGATTTTAATTTTGAAGAAAAATACAACAGTATATCCAACTGTATTCCATAGAATTAAATTATGAAATCAATGATTGTTTCATCAATAGATCATATCGAAAGATCCAAATCACCTGACGGATACACAGAGTGCTTATATAGCAATTTCGGCTATACTTTGCTAAACTATGTCGTACTATTTCTAAATTGTAGTATTAAAAAAACAGATTATCCTCATCGACTATTCCACAGCTAGCATTGACCTCACTCCAGATGACGATGTTTTCCATTGCCCGAACGAACACTAACTTACATTACTATACAAGACGAAATAGAATACCTATTCTTCAGCTTCCTCGTTTCCTTACTTCTCAAGAACGTGAATACATGTCAATTTGTCTCTAATAGCTACAAAAAGAAGTGCACAGCTACATATTTATTGAACCTTAATTTCAATTGAATTAAAATGAGACTATCTGAATATTCTAATCGCTTTACACACCCACACCTTGTTTTCTTGGTTTTCTATTAAAAAGAATCATGCATTAGTTCAATATTCTCGAATATGATTTATATAAATTTGCTTTTTTATTGACCAAGGAGAAGAGTTAGTCCAAATATTGAAATAATAATCATAGCTTGTTGAACAAGATAATTGCTACTACTATAGCGAGTCATAGTTGTTGTAGAACGGCAGCTAGTAGAAGTAGTATTAGTTGCGTCGCTTGCTTTCACATAAAAATCGATGTCATGTTTTGATATGAAGTCAGAACCTTTAAGTTGAGCACGAACACTCACATAATATTCACCATTAATTGCTGTCCATTTAAATAGACCTGTATTATTGTCAAATGTGGAGCTTGCCGGTCGATGTAATACAATCAATTCTACCACATGTGAGGGATATTCACTCGATGCCAATAAATTTAAATTTACTTGTTCACCATGTCTTAGATGCATTCGTATAGGAAGCGAAGAATTAAATGAAGGTGGATTTGTTTGAAAATGTCAAGTCCAGAAAAATCACTAGAAATTCATAAAAAATCGCTTCCATCGAACCACCCTTCGCTCATTTTTTCCTATAATAACATCGCTAGAATGTTTGAAAACATGGCAGAGCATTCGAAAGCTCTCTCATTCTATGAACAAGCAATCAAAATCTGTGAGGAAACCACTTCCTCCAAATCATCCCTCATTGTCTGCTTGCTACAGTAACATAGCCTCGTTATATGAACACATGGGTGACTACGGCAAAGCACTTTCGTTCTATCAGAAAGCACTTGAAATTTTCAAAAAAACTTTTCATCTGGACCATCCTGATTTGGCCGGTACGTACACTAAAATCGCTGGATTATATAGCGACATGGGAAAGAATTCTCAAGCACTTTTATTTAATGATAAAGAACTTAAAATCTATCAAAACACTCTTTCTCCAAATCATCCTTTGTTGGCTATATACACTCTACAATAACATTGGTAGAACGTATGAAGACGTGGGAAATAACTGGAAAGCACTTCAAATCAGACAAAGTGCACTTCCTTCACATCATCTTGATTTTGCGCAATCCTACAACAACATCGCCAGTGTGCATTACAATATAGACAATTACTCAAAAGCGCTCTCATTTCTTGAACGCGCTCTAGATATCAGTCAACGTTTATTACCTGCAAATCATTCTCATCTTCAACAAGTGCGACAAGGTATTGAAATGATGAAAGAGAAATTGTACATAAAAATAAATGATGAATAAAAAAGAATATTAGTGCCCTCGCTGCACACAAAGAATTACAGTTGTCATCTTGCACGGATACAGACATACTAAAGGAGAAAATCAGGGTGTGGATTGAATATGGTTGTGTGGATGTGGATGTGGGATGATGTGGCTGTGAGTTTGGATATACTTTTCATCCATACTCACACCCTTAATTAAATTAATAAATATCGAAGTGAAAAGTTGACTGTTTTAAATATTCGAAGAAAACAAAAAGTATTGATTAGAGTTCAGTACTTGATGATTCATCTCTTATTGAAGAAGTTAATGTAAATAAAAGAATAGCTAAAGAATTGAAGAAAAAAATTACTGTTGATGAAAAATACAAAAATAAAAATTAGTACAACACGAGAAGGACATCGAATTGTTGCTATTCAAGGACATATTATTTATTTTCTTCTGTCAGAAATTGCAGTATGTAGCAAGTTTCTTTCTCTAATAAATTAAATTGATTGAAGTTTTTTGTTTATTTTTTAAGCTTGTTAATCATATGCGTCAAATATCATTACAACAATATCTTGGTGTTTTTCAAAATTCAATGAACAAAGTATTTCATTTTTATTTTTAAACATTAAACAAAATTACTGTAACGCAAAAATGTATTTAAAAAATCAATGATTATTTAATAATGGAACATGGTTTTATGCAACACGTGATTTATATGAAGATAATAGAATCACGTGTACATTAATAATGACATTAAGACTTGACATATGTCGGATGAAAACATGTCACGATGACTTTCAAGTATTCATTAAGAACAGTGCTTCTTTAGATTTAAATACATACCCATCAAAATCATTTCGTGGGTTAAATGATTCACCTTGGCTTAATCTACTTGAATTTAATCAGTTGAAAGCATTCCATGATGTTATGAATCGAGTAGGTATGGTATTTGTGTGACCGTGCATGGGTGAAGAGAAGACGCACACAAAACTCACAGGCAGTCATATCGGGTCTGGTTCGGATCGGGTATAGAAAAAGCTGGATCGTGACACTGCCGTTTCGGGCTTGAGTGCAAAAAAATCGTATTCATGCAAGAAACAACTTTACATGATATTAAAGTTTATTGAACCCTCACCAAAAAGAACATTACATTAAACAGAATACAGGAAATTTCTTAGACGTTAGGAGAAACTCTTTATTGAAAGTTGTGAACAATAGCTACGTCGTATCTGTTAGACTCACACATAACCTACTTCAAAATATCGAAAGTTACATGCAAAGCAAATTAAAAAAAGCAACAGGTGCTTCTTATCCAGACTATCATGAACATGCCATGTTAGCAAAAGGTTAGCAAAAGCAAGAAAATGAACTTCTGCAAATAAGCTTCTTTAGGTTAGTTAGAAGAGAAAACATTGCCAACCTTCGAATAGCCAGCTTCTTCTCCTTTTCATTAGAATTCAAAAACAAATACATAGAATTTTATATCATTTAAAATTGCTGATATCGATGTATTATGAGAAGACGACAATGGTAGATCATTCCTTTTCCTCTTGTTTATAAATAACACTTCGATATCGACACTGAATGTACTTTTTCCATTTGTTGTATCGAGTTCATTGTCAAAAGAGCAAATTCCATTTATACACATTTTTGAATTTCCATCACAGAAACGACTATCTGCTTGTTGACCTAAAATACAAGAAGTAAAGTAAACAGAGGAGAGATATTTGCAGTCAATCTCATATTTTAGAAAAAAAAATTAGACACATACATATTGTTTGTTTCTCCAACTCCGTACCATTAGTTGATAATTCTCTGATGTTAATAATTATATAACTATTGATATTCTGATCTCTATCAGTGTATAAAGACGAATTAAATCGATATACAGTACGATTTCTAAGAATCCAAGGGAGATAACCATGTAAATCAATTCTTTGATGTATCATAGAGAGTTCTGAATCATAGGAAACAAAGTAACAGTTATCATTTAATAACTGCACTGCCACACTTCCATTTGCAACCATCCAATGGATTTCGGATAAATTTTTACTACGGTCATTAATACAATCATCGTTAATCAACAGATTTTTATTTTTTGCTACCGTTCCATTCGGTAAGATTGCACCTTGATATGTCAGTGCCTTAGCCAGCTGTTCATCTGTAATATTTGATTGTGATAAATTAGCATTCTGTAAATTAACAGAATTGAAACGTGCATTTTCAAAATTACATTCAACCAATTTTGCATAACTAAAGTCAACTTCCAACAAATCGACTGAACTAAAATTTGAATGTGTACAGTCAGTTTGTGCCAAATCTGATCGGTAGAGATTTCGTCTTTGAAACGATGTATTTCGTAGGGAAACACCACGTAGAGCTATACGTGTCTCGTAATAGAAGTTTGGTATAACCTGTGTATACGGTGGTCGTAAATCACTAAAGTCAACATTATCTAAATTTACCTCTTGTAATGAAATAATTGGATTTCCAGAATTCATATCGCTTTGAATCAGTTTGGCTTCATATAGAAATAGAATTACTTCACGCTTTCGTTTCACATCTAATTGTCGTAGAACACTCATAGTTTTTGCACGTAATAGAGGATCTAATGGTTGAGTTGAAAACATTAATGTAGATATATCATTTAAATATTCTGTTAAACGATTGTCTTGTCTTTCTTCCTCAGCTAAATCAGCAGTTTGGTCACGTTCACGTTGTGCAATATCTAAATCTTTATCACGATTTTCCTTTGCATCTATAGTATTTTGAATAGTTAACGTCATAGTTACAACGCTTAACATCAAAGGAACTAAAAGTATACCGGTAACACTCAGTATATCTTTAAATTGCATATTCCAAAATAAGGATTTAGTCAAGACTGATTCGGTGTTTGTTGAACTATCAACTAAAGTTAGAGGTAATAAAAATGACATGCTTCCGGTTGTCTGAGACATAGACCTCTGACGAGTCAACATGATCTAAAAAAGAGAATAAACGTTGTATTACTATAGAGAATGTGTTTGACCCTATACAAGAATAGACATGTGAGATCACAGTCGTCTAATGAAAAAAGAACTGCATCATTAAAATTCAGGAAATAAGTAAGCTTTACAACTTTCAGTTAGTTCTCTAAGCCCTTTTCTTTGAAATTATATCAACAAAAAACATGCTATTGTAAGATAGAACATAAAACGTATATCTAAAGAAAAAGTTTTAATTTCAAAACTTAAAATCTATCCTTGAATTAATGTTATGCCTAACATTCACAAGCAAACAATTCTTGATATTCTCCATGTCTTGTTGGTATACAATCATGACAAATCATTGTTACAAGTGTATAGGCTGGTGGTGTAGAAGAATAATTCGTCCATCTTGTTGGTAAAAGAGAACAGCCAGCTTCTATCCATGGACCAACAGCTTCTAGGTCTGAAGAGAGAGAGAGAGGAATAAAATGTGCTTTAAAGTTCTAAAGGATATAAATATCACAGCACTTACTTTCTTCGTTAAAGACATCACGTAGACGTTTTGTGCGAAAAAATCTATTTGTTGAATCATCAATATACGTGTCAAAAATATAGGTGTTGATTTCAGTTTCATTTTTTACGATTTCTTTATTACTTCAACTAAATGCCTTTTTTTTATAGTAGTTTGAGTAGAATGTGAAATATTTCATTGATAATTTATTACAGACTTCCGTTTTATTGCCTTTGAATAAGTTATAAACCTTGAATCAACAAAAGCTTATGTCTTCTATATTTAGAAATTGTAAATACATAGATTACTCGTAAATTAGTCAGATACATACTAGTAGAAAGTAAAAAATGTGATTTATGATATATTCTCATTGTCACGTAACTTATCCATGTTGAAAGCTATGTTTTTGAGGGATTTATTGCCTATGATATATTATTGAGATCAATGAGTAATTGCAAGGCACATTATAGAGACATTAAACGCACCGCTTTTCACTTCTGATCACACTGAATACGTGAATTCAACACAGTTAAGTTATCCATTGCCGCATTTGGAGAAAAATAGTGGCAAGATCTTAAGGGCCCCATCCCCTCAAAAATCGATCTCAGCCCAGGAATGTCCAAATGGCCTGAAAATTGGAGGATATGTTGGGGTTGAGGTGGAAAAGCTACGATAAAATTTTCAGCCCGAAATCATGAGTTTTAAGGGAGATATTGACCAAACAAGGATGAAAAATTGGTGATTTGGCATCCCAAATTTCTCGGT